CTGTTGTTGACTGGACTGTTGTTGACTGGACTGTTGTTGACTGGACTGTTGTTGACTGGACTGTTGTTGACTGGACTGTTGTTGACTGGACTGTTGTTGACTGGACTGTTGTTGACTGGACTGTTGTTGACTGGACTGTTGTTGACAGCAGGGTATAAGTCCTCTCGCAGTAACAAAGATGCTTTGGGTTGGTGAAACAGTTACTATGGTTACTCCTGGCCCTGTGCATACATGTACATTGACTACACGTACATGTACATACCAATGTATATTGGAGAAACAGTGTGCTGTCGGGATTTGGCCTCAGTGCTGCCATCTATCAGGACCACACAGATTTTGCTGCAACATGCTACCCTCACCACTGTTCACTGTAGTGTTATGACTTCTAACCATTTACATACATACATTGTACATGTACATGTAACAAATTTCACCTACATTTCTCAGCACAGTACCTACATGTAGGCACAGAACATGACCAGTTATGTCTTCATGTACACCCAGTCTCTCTGGACAGACCAAAATGTCAAAAGCTTTCTGGCATATCCTGCTTTTTATTAGACAAATTAAGCACAAGCTTACAGAAATTGGTCTCTGGAGATTATGGACATGATGGACAGATTCCTACATGAAATACTGTGAGATTTCGAATGATATTTATATCAGTCACTGACATTGATTGATCTTGGGCTCAGTTATAGTGGGTTTGGTCTTCCTACATGCAGTTGGGTACATTTTAGGATTTTGGTTGTTACGTTTTGCCCTTGAGCTGGGCCTGACCAACATTTGGGCAACATTTATCATTAATTCTTCAAAGGTTATTGATTGACAAGGGAAATGTTACGAGCTTGCGATAACATACTGGTTGTGTCACTTGTGCATTGATCATTTGGCCTTATCAGCGTCATCTGTACTTGGGCAAAATCTGGACCCAAGTTTGTCCCGAGTATTTTTAACACTCTGGCACGGCATGATTGATGCTGATAAAAAGCAACTTGTCGTCTGGTATTTGTCATAGAGAAATGCCCTGGAAAAGAAAAAGCACCCTTAATGCGAGGGTATCATACTTTTTCCGTTTGCACTTTGCTGACCACATAAACTTGAGATGTGATATTGGACTCTTCCATTCCTTTTTTAGTTTATTGAATCATAGGGCAAGGAATTCTATGATTAACCCCTTGACGACGAGAACTTTTTTCTGAAAGCCAACTCCGAGAATTCCAGCCTCGCTTGGCCACTAAGGCCACCTGCCAAACCGCAAATTCTCGGTTTGAGGCCCTGCGTGCTCTGCATCTTATGATGCAAATTTGGTCTTTTCTGGGCTACACACAATGGCCAATCACCATATACTGTGTATACAAGAGCCAAGGTCTGCCTTCTTTCACTGTGTTTGCTCGAGCCTGGGCCAAGAAAAATAGCTGAAAAGCGGCGGCTCTTACCATCATCTGTCATGAAGGAGTTAAATAGTCGCATAGTACCGGTAGAACAAAAATCAAGGTCGGAAGCTAAATAGTTCTCATTCAAAGGGACCCTCAAAATACCTTGTCATCAGTTCGATAATTATAAATCTGACATGACGTTTTCCACATGGGTTCTGAAGAGAGTGGATGAAACTATTGATTTTGAAGAAAACGTGTCATTGTTTTGAGAAACTTGGGGAAAGGGGAAGGGTTAAAGATAAGTGATAAAATGACATTGACAGAAAATACAGAATTTGGGGCTAATAGGGCCAGGTGAAATACGGGTGCTAAAATCAAGGGCAGTAGAACTGAATGATGAAAGTGTTGTTAAAATGTGTAGTTTCAGAAATATTCTACATGTATGTTTTGGGTTTGAAGTTACCAAAACTGTGCCACCAAAGAAGTTGTTTGGAGGTTTTATTGACCAAAACTCTTGGGTCCAAACTTTGACGGAAATTCTTGGGTCAAAACTTTGACATATAACTCTTCTGCTGGAAGTTTCAATGACCTGAAAGCCTGAATATCAGATTGACTTACCGTGTGAGATTCTCCACTGAGCAGATGTTTATCATGCATACATGTAGCAACCACCTCCACT